AGAAACTACAGTTGATTGTTCTTATTAACCATTGTTTATGAATCAGAAACTATAGTTGATTGTTCTTATTAACCATTGTTTATGAATCAGAAACTATAGTTGATTGTTCTTATTAACCATTGTTTATGAATGAACTTTTCTTTTTCATTTTACACTCATTAAACGGGATTAAATTCAAATCTGTACATGTCTTAACTTAATATAAATTTGCGCTTGGACAAAACTTGCTACAAAGGTAACAGTTCTTTTAAAACTTATTCCATCTTCAGACTCTCTTGAACCAACCCTACGCCATATAGACAAATATCTTAAAAATAGATCAGGCAAGTGTATCACTGTTACTTAATACGTGAATAGAAAAAAAAAGTTTCCTGTGTTCATAATTAATCAGGAATTGACTCGTTCCGTGTACCTCCTTCCCCCCCCCCCACAAAAAAAAGGGAACTGTAAAAACAGTGATGTCTTAAGATTGTAAAGATCATACCTCTATTACCATTGTTTTTGCTTCTGTATAGAGGGAGTTCTGTGTCCATTTGCAATAGTGAAGGAATGTACTAAATAATAGTTAATATAAATTTTGTATATATAATTTGTTGCAACCGAAAAAATAAACCTGTAAGTTTGGAGTATATTTATGAAAATCGTTTTGTCCACAAACATAAACTTCCTTTTATCACCAAAGGAAGGGTGTCTCGGTCCGTAGCGTTGTGAACATTATAAACATCTGTTTATAATTTATCATTTGTATGTGGTATACGTTTTCCCCGTTTTCAGATTATCTTTGCAAACCAAGTCAAGAACATCCTGTATTACATTGATACTAGTGGAGAATATTTCCCGCAGTCTTATATATACAATTACCTTGCAAGAAAAGTGTGGTGAGAGAGCACTTGTTTTATCTAGTGTTAAAGGTTTCTCGTGCTTTATTAGCACCTTCTTGTGGGGGGTTAACATGTTTGTTTGTTTTAGAGCAAAGCCACATTGGGCTATCTGCTGTATCCACCGCAGGGAATCGAACACCGGATTTTAGTAGTATTGTAAGTCCGTAAGCTTACTGCTGACCCACGAGGGGACGTGTCAGTTTGTAGTTTGTTTTGTTAATTCGATTCCTAAAAGAAATAAAAAAAGAATAAACGAACTCGTTATTTTGTTTTATTTTACTGCCCTCCAAGATGAAGTAAATAATATTTATCTTTTCAAACGTAATAAATACAGTTTGTCAAACATTATGATCAGAACTCTGATTACAGAGTAAAAAAAAACAAGAGCTGTATTTTCGGAGTAAACCAAAATCCAAACCAAGTAAATATAAGTCTATTTCACTGGCTTCAAATAGTGTGAAGTTTTAATCTGAAAAAAAAATATAATTTTAGGTACCACAGAATCCTGTCTTTGATTGTCTTTACAGGTTGTAGTATAAGCTAGGTTCGCTTTGGCGCCGCCCAGTTACATCTCTTTTAAAAGATTAGGTACACCCTATAATATTTTGTAATTAATTGTTTAACTGCATGTAAACGAACCAAATATAGTGGGGCAGTGGAGTAAGAGGATGTTTAACATTTAACACTGAGAGGGGGGGAGAGTGACAACACAAGCACCTGCTGCCCCATACAGACTAACATTACTGAAATTACACCTCCTTCTCGCATATATAATGAATTCCACTGCGTTAAATCACTTGAAAGATGGCCAGGTGGATAAGGCACTCGACTCGCAATCTGAGGGTCGCGGGTTCGAATCCCTCTCACACCAAATATGCTCGCCCTTTCAGCCGTAGGAGGCGTTATAA